CCCCAAAACCCCAAAACCCCAAAACCCCAAAACCCCAAGATAGCCAAATTATATTGCTTTATATATTTTAGTTTTCAAATGTTTCGATCTCCTACAACAAGAGTACACTTCAAACGGAACTCCAGTAGCAGTTTAGTTTGAGGCGCAAATGCTTTAGTTCGAGATCCACAAGGGAATACAACTAGACAGAGAGATTGTCCAAATGTTGTCCAGCTTTTTGAACCAAAGAAAATTCAAAGGAATAAGTTAATTTCAAAGAGAAAATAACTTGATCAAGCAAGCAATATCTGCAAATACAAAAGAAGAATCCAACTTGGATCCTATCAGGGAATCTCCATCCCAACTCAGAAAGAGACTGGGGATGATGGGAGATATGAAAAGCTTTAACCTAGATCCTTCAGAATTAATGAAACACAAGTTGAAGTATTATTACACGGCTTACAACTAATAAGAGTTTGAAGACTTACTATATGACATTTGGAGATAATTCTCCCAACTATGTTGGAGACTCTCTCCATTGTCTGAACAATGAAGCAACCTTACCTTGCTGGAGACGGATATCAGAGTTTATCTTCAAAGCTGAACACAAACAATTCAAAAAGATAATTGGAAAGTTTAGAAAATAGAGAAATTCATGAAATGAAAAACAACATTAAAAGATCCCAGCAGGTTTTCAAATAAAATTGTAATGAAGAATAGAAGGTTCGCCAGGCTATTTCAAAAAGTAAGCGAGCCTAAACTTAATGGTATATTGATCATTTAAAGCAATGGAAATCAGAATGTTAATTCCACGATACATTTCGTCTTAATGTCTAATATTTACAGTTTAAATGTCAAATAATCTATATAGGTAGTCAAACATACATATTCTCAAGTTGGTATTTCAAATGAAAAAGAGATTAGTGATGAAATGAGACATAAAATATCTGAGATTTTAAAGGAATCTCTTAATATGAAAATCCAAGATGTTAAACGAAAAATTAAAAACAATAAAAGAATTGCAGCTATCAGAAGAAGGACAAGAAGACAAAATTCTGATATTGAAGATTCGAAAAGCGTTACAAGTGAAGATCCTGAAGATTATAAGCAGTTAGCTGGTTTACAGCCATTTTTCGAACAAAGTGAACTTCAGAACATCCCAACTATTAAAGAATGAATCAAGTTAGAAGAAGACAATCAAAATAGCAATTACGATTTCCAAATAACTGAAAAATCATCGTCTTCATCCTACACATCAAGTTCGTCTATATCGTCTTTAGAAAAAAAAGATGTGCATCTTAGTAACAGAGAATTGCTGTTGCAGTTAACAAGAAGGAGAAAACAATCGCTCCCTAAGAAATCAAGGTTCGTTTAGAAGGCAACAAACAATGCTCAGAAGCGTTAACAGAATTAGGAAGACTCCAAGTTTTATTAAAAACAAAAATACCCCTGGTATCAAAGAATTAGATGGATTTGATAGTTCAAGAAATGTTCTGAGAAAATCAAGCAACCAAACCTCTTCGTCCAAAAAATACTTGAAATTGTTTATAAAATTGAGGTTGATTTACTGAAAATCTTCCTAGCTATTACTTATAGAGAGTCTTGAATAAGCCCTCAAAAGCTAAAGAGCCTTTTGATGCCTCCGAATCAATTTGAGCCCCACCAAGGGATGCTCAAAATGATTTCAAAGCGAAAGAATTCTTACACCCCTGAAAAGCATAAAAAGAGAACAGTTGGAGTACAGAGTAACCTGTCCAAAGATAAAATCTCAAACTATTACCTTAAAGGAGCTAAAGACATTTTCAAGCAACAAGTTTTCAGTGAACCTAGACTCTCTAGAGCTCATGACCAGGAACAGAGTGTCGAGATGCCCTTAGAAGACTCGCTTATGGTCTCTAATATTTTCAAAGATGACTCAAAGAACCAGCTTTTTACACTCCCGGTAAGAGGAACAGGCTGAACTGATATTATTAGAATTAATCTTCACTTATTAAATATCCAAGCTACTGTGAATTTGATAATGCTTCTAACATTTATTTAATAGAAGATATCTAAAATCGTCAGAAAAAGTCATTCTGTATCCAGGCTAAAATGGAACCAGAAAATCAACAAAATCGTTAAAAAATAGAGCAAAACATAGAGCCAAGTTAATGGCAGTACTTCATATACTTAGATTTAGAACATTTCAAGCAACAGTGTGAAAATTTTGCAAAGAGGGTCAAGACCTAGAAGAGTTACTAAGACTAAGCTCGAGAGTCTGTATAGAGTTAATTCACCTAAAGTCGTATCTCAGTTTTGCAAATAAGTAAGGGAAATAATAAATGACTGACTCTTCACGTCAAAACTACATCTTTAATACATACTCATTATAATCAGAAGCCCATAAAAGTTGACAGCTGAGATATATTACGAATTTATGATTCAGTTGTTAAAAAATTTCAACTACTTTTTAAATTAGCAACCTTACCTAGTCTGGCTATATGGACTGCAACTGGATTCTTATAGAGATGAACAGTTCAACCATTTCAATATTTATTTTGTGACTTGGGGTTTTGGGGTTTTGGGGTTTTGGGGTTTTGGGG